TATATATATTATATATATATACCTTGTTATCATGCTCATCATACTATTCGTATCACGCTACATATAAATTAATATGATCAGTGTTGCCAGCGGAAGCGAAATTAAAAAGCATTGAATTTCACTGAACAACTAAATATTCGGCATACTCGTTTGAGTACAACGGTGTCGGGGTTACGGTTATCACCATGATCGATCCTACCTGTCGTTCTCGATTGGTGAGCTTCTCGAGAAAGTGACGAAAGAACAATGAAGGATCCTCCACAATACATGTCCAGATCACTTTTCGAGAGACATCCCCGACTAAAAAAAAAAGATTTCATTTCATCATTGATGAGTGCAATCCAAAAATATGTCTTCTTCCGAAATTATCATTCTTTGTAATTTTTCTTATTTCATTTCTCTTCTTGGGCATATCTGTCGAGACATTATTAGAACTTGGTTCATTGGGCTGCGCTGAGCTTTATCTCATATCAAGAAGTTCTTCTAATGATGGACTAAAAGAGACACGACGACAAACACGTTTTCCACCCTCAACCTGATTAGAACCTTGCTCCCATTCTTTCATCAGTCACTGGGTTAGTGTGAACGGTATTCTACTATAATAGCAAGTGCAATGTGTGTTACCGGCTGCTCACGGTAATGCGTGCAACAGATCACCAATTGATCTGTATTGGTTAGTGACTGCTTTCATAGTCCATGATTTAGCCCGCGACCGATCACGATCGACCAATTTGCGAAGCTCTTTCAACAGAATTCGGTCGCGCGCCAAATCGTGGACTATGAAAGCAGCCAGTGATATCCACATAGACAGTACTAGTAAACTTACTATTTCGTCATCCATGTTGTCATGCGCCCAAGTGACATTTCACAATACTCATCGTGCATGAAAAAAGGATAAAGTCCTGGGGCGTTAATCAATCTCGCCTGAGGAACGCGCCCACGCATTCGTCTTCCATTCAGTATCATAGTGGTGTATGGATGCGTATGTGGCCTATAGAATGACTTGCGTAGGCCAGCCGATGAACTAGTCAGTGCTTTTACCCTCCCAGACGTACCGACCCCGGAGGGATAGATGGCTTGCTTGGTTAGGTAGATTTTGATTGGGGATTCGAACCTGCGATCATGCCACTTACCACTACACCAGCTCCGCACCAGGCGCTCAAGCCGACATACGAAAAGACACAAAACGTTAGCGCTTTATATGTAGAGAAATGGAGATAGAGCAATTCGAAACAGAAATGAATTGAACCAAACCGAAAACCAACCAGAAACGCCGTTTTTGTCGACTTGTGGATCGTCCAGCATCTCGATAATAAGAGGGATGACGGCTAGCAGTGGCGAGGGAAACAACGGTTGAGCAACTGGCAATGGATGTCGAGCAGGATGGTGAGAAATTTCGGATTCTTAAAAGAAACTGTATAGAAGAAACCAACTACAATAGCGACCCTTTCTCACCCTCTCCCTGCTCCTGATGATGAAAGAGAGCTGGTTCGTAAGCGGCTTGCTGAACGATTGCCGAGCACCGCAGCCTGTAGTGGTTTATCAATTGGCAGTTGCTATTGAAGAAGTGCATAATCCCAGAAAAAACAAAGCGAAATCCAACAGAGGTTACCTGAAAAGCTGTCGCTGTTCACAGTGACGCTCTTCAGCATCTCTAACGGCTCGTTTGACCATTTCCTGTTTTTGTTTCCGCCGCGTACGAGTCATCGTCATAATGGTCTGCGACTGAAAAGAAAATCATATCCAACACCAGAGCTTTGCTTTTGAAAAGTGATTTTTTTTCTTATTCTTGTAAACAATGCGCTCAATGGAACTGTTGATGGGCCTCCTGTACAACAATTGAAGAGAAGTTAATGAACAACTTTAAAATCGAAAGCATATGTTGTTCTTCTGCCTGCTGTTGGAAGGTTGGGATAAGAATAGGAGAAGAATGAAGCGCTCTGCACCCAGCTCCTCAGCTAATGGTGGAGGAACTGGGTGGAGTGCGCTTCGTTGCGCGCGTCCGTCAAAACCAGGTCACGCCGCAGCCGTCGCATGCGGCAGGTCAGCCCGCGATACTTGATGGATGTCGCAGTTGTTGGTGGGGCATACGATTTGCGCTTGGTCCACGGCAATCAGCTCAAAGAGAAAATAACACGGACAAATGCAGATCGTTCGCTCCACTGACACTTGGTGGTGCTGTAATGTCTCTCGAGACCTCTGTAGAGTGCGCCGCACGCGAAGTAGGCGGGGTGACCTGCTTTCGACGGACGCGCGCAACGGACGTTCTCCGGAGGAACTGTGTTGTAAAACGTGTGTGGACCCCTTGATAAAAGAAGCGAGAGTTGCAGGTGAAGTGTGCTTGGGAACTGTGAACCGAATGCAAGGCACAAGTGGTACCAGTAAAAATGGGGCATTTGTTCACTGCTCCACGTATGCATAACCAAATAAAGTGCTCACGGTTGCATGTTCCTCCTCCTTCAGCGAGAGTTCTTCGATCTTTGTCTTTAGATGAGGCATCCACGGGGGATCCACTACCGGCAACTGACTCTGACCGATAGGAGGGGAAGGAAGGGTGAAGTCGATGCCGGGAGGAGGCACCTTAATTACTGGTTGATTTACATTTTAAACAACATCGGCAAATATGTATGATGGCGTAAAATAAGCATGAAAAGAGGTGAGAAAGTCAAGAAAATTCTTTAAAAAGTTAATGGCCACCTTGAACGAGGCTTGGGCGCCTTCTTCCATCTTTAGCCATACATGAAATCTATTCCGCCACAGTGCATAGAACCTAAAAAACTTGATATCTCAATCGCACAGCGCAAGCAGGATATTAAAAGCATATTAACTCAGGTAAACGATAAAGATAAAGTTTTTGGCGTTAACCCTCTGACGACAATGCGGTTTCGACGTGATGCGCCCATGGGACCACTCTCCTCTTTTCGCGCGCGCGACTGG